AAGAGAAATAGAAGATTTTTTCATTTATAGGCTTTGGTTGTAGTCGATTGTCATAACAAATATTACCTCCCTTCATCGGCAATTCCATCGAATGCCTGGCATTACTTGAAATACACATGTGCCCTGTGAATCAAGAGCACTGGCAATTTGGTGTAGTGGTTACCGTGTCGGGATCATACTTCGCACTGTCATAGTTCGAGTCCCGTTTGGCGAGGTCGAAACTGCAGTCCACTTGAGTCGGGATGAAAACAACTTTCAGGAAAGCAAGGCCATGCGAAATGCATTGGAGAAGTCAGTTCTATTCATCAAATTGTGGGAAAAATCATCTACCAATCCTTCATCACCGTCAACGAAATATGGTGAATAAATATGATAAAAATAGAGAATACCACTTCCGTACCAGCGAGGCATCATGCTCAACTTCATAGCAAAAGCATACAACAGGAATTCGTCGTAATGTTGTGACCAGTCCGACCTACACGAATCCCAACGATACAACAAATGCACACAAACACTGGCACACACATACAACTTCAGTGTCTGTCTGCGGGACTCGACCTCGTGGCTGATTGGCTCACCTGATCGGTGAAGAGTTCGTTCTGTCGTCTTTTCCACTTGAAGAGGCCGAACGGTGTGACGAGCGTCTGTACTATGGCATGCCGAAAGCGTTGTACACACAAACTGTATACAACTGGACTGATCGACTGCACTGTGATACAGACAAATGCGATGGCGTCGGCCGTCTCTGTGTGTCCGGCCAGCGACCGATGTATTGTCAGCTTGTAGGCCAACCGACAGATCGGATAGACCATGGAGAAGATGAAGACGCTCGTGACAGCGACAGCAGCCGTCAACAGTTGACGTCTCATCTTCTGACGCGACTCCTCCAGCGAGGACATTCGCAACTCTTGTGCCTCCTTCCTGCTCAATGTCCTCTTGCCAGGTTCGAGGCCTCCCAAGGCCAGCAACTCGACCGGTCTCGTACGGCTCGTTTGCGCCACACCACTTGTGCCCAATTCATCGGAAGCCGAGACCTCTGCCACCGTCGCCGTCGCCGTCGCTGTCGCCGTTGCTGTCGCCGTCGCCGTCGCCGTTGCGGCAGTTCTCTTCTGCTCGGTCAGAGCTCGAGTCTGTCGGTTCAGCCGGTTGAACTGGATCACCGTAACGCTGTAACTGACCGTCATGCCGACGGCGGGGACGAGAAACATGAAGGCGAGCGTGAAAAATCCCATCACCAGGTAGGCCGGTGTGTGGAAGAGACCGATCGTCTCGCCCTCACGACCCATCAGGTAGCAGAAACAATCGGAGAAATGGACCGAGTCCAGCCAGACAGGACAGCAGAGAGCAAAACTGGTCAAGTAGACGACCGCGTAGGCGAATATGTAGACACGGATGCGTCGAGAGGCTCGATAGCCGACCGGTCGGACGACGGCGAGGCAACGGTCCACGGCGAGCAGGAAGAGACTGTAGGCCGACACACCAATTAGTAGCCATGGCAACAGTTCACTGATCCAGAGGTAGCAGAAGAACAGGTTGGTCATGGCATAACCTGTGGTCGGCATGACAATGGAAAGTTCGATGATGCCGGGAAAACGAATGGCGCCAAGAAGGATGATGACAAGGCAGAAGGCACAATTGACGCCGGCCTGATGGCCGATCAGGAAGGTGGCCTTACGCTGGAGGAAGAGACTCTTCACCGCAGTCACCAGCACCAACGCGTTGCTGAACAGGCCGAGGGTGGCGATCACGATGGCCAATCCGTCCAGATGCGTTGGCTCGGTGGCCATGTTTACTGTGAAATTGTTCTGTCGCGCCAGCGACATCAGCACTGACTGACAGTCCTCGTTGAAGAGCGTCTAAAAAGTCGACTAGCCTCGTCAAATCATCATTCAAAGCAAAAGTTGGTCCTTCACCCAAAAAAAAATGTACACCCACCGGTCTGACAATATGAGGTCAAAGCGATCAGGTCGGCCGACACGGCACTCCATTTTATCTCATCGGACTACATGACATTATATTATCTTCATTCAACATCATATACTACTGATAAATTTCTAAGTAGTATGCTATTCATAGATGGGTTGCAGGAGACCAAGCTTTAAGATAATGGTATATTTTTGGAACAAATAATTTCCTATAGGCTAATCAGGAGAATGGTGGTTTAATTTTCCCACAATCACATGAGTACATCTTACCTTTCCGAAAAGCTATTCTCATCCAGGCTGAAGTGGACTGCAGTTTCGACCTCTCTTGGTTCTTATTAACGCCCCCAGCGTGTCACAATGTTACGAGTACAACGCTACTTGGAGAAGAGCAACTTTGAGGAAGCAAGACTATGTGAAATTAAGTGAAAGTGTATGTTCTACTCTTCAGATTGTGAGAGAATTCAGCCACCGATC